GTGCACGAGGCATCCGCCAGACCTTTACGCTTCCGGACTCTCCACAGAAAAATGGGATTGCTGAGCGCCGCATTGGCATGGTCATGGACGTTGCTCGTACGTCCATGATGCATGCGGCTGCCCCCCATTTTCTGTGGCCGTTTGCGGTTCGGTACGCGGCGCATCAGATCAACCTTCACCCCAGGGTCTCCCGGCCGGAGACCTCCCCAGCTCTGCTGTGGACGGGGAAGGTCGGCGATGCGTCTGCGTTCCGTGTCTGGGGATCTCGGGCGTTTGTCTGCGACTTGTCTGCGGACAAGCTGTCCCCTCGTGCTGCTCCCTGTGTCTTCCTTGGCTTCCCCCCTGACGCCCCAGGGTGGCAGTTCTACCACCCCTCCTCTCGACGTGTTCTGTCCTCCCAGGACGTCACGTTCGACGAGTCAGTCCCCTTCTACCGCCTCTTCCCCTACCGCACTCCTTCCCTCCCCCCACCACCGCACTTCCTTGTGCCAGGTCCCCCCCAGGTAGACCCCCTTCCCCCTCAGGGTCCTGCCCCTTCAGGTGTGTCCCAGGTAGACGCAGTCGAGCCGGTCGAGGTTGCTGGTGACTCTGGTACTGCTGCGGGTGCTGAGCCTGGGGGTGCTGACTCTGGGAGTGCTGCGCGCGTGGGCGCTGAGCCTGGGGGTGCTGAGCCTGGGGGTACTGCGACTGGGGGTGCTGAGCCTGGGGGTGCTGAGCTTGGGAGTGCTGAGTCTGGGACTGCTGAGCCTGGGGGTGCTGAGCTTGGGGGTGCTACGTCACGAGCTGCTGAGCCAGGGGGTGCTGCTGAGCCTCGAGTTGCGGAGCCTGCGGCCACTGGACCCTCCCTTCTGGCGTCTGGCGGTGTGGGGCCTGGAGGCTCTCCGGGTGCTTCGTCTCGGCGGGAGCCACTCTCTCCACAGGAGCTGCGCGAGTGGTTTGCTCGCCGCTGGAGGCGTACTACTGGAGTTGGAGCTTCTTCGGCCGCTGAGGGTACTTGTGCCGCCGGTCCCGGGGCTCCTGGGCCTTCGGGTCCGCCTGGCGCTGGAGCTACTGAGGGTGTTGGTGCTGAGACTGGTGCTGTACTTCCTTGCGGTGGTCCTGCTGCGGGTGCTGCTGGTGCTGCTGGAGGTCCTGCAGCTGGAGGTGCTGTTGGCGTTGGTGCTGCCGCTGAGGGTGCTGGTGCTGTCCCTGCTGTGTCTGGAGTTGCCGCGCGGCCTCGGCCGTACTTCGTTCCGCTCCTTCAGCAGGTTCTTGGTCTTTCTCCTCCTGTAGAGTGTCCACCGCCTGTCCAGTCACCGTCACAGTTAGAGCCCGCCTCCCCACTTCCTGCTCCCTCTCCTTACACTGGTCCTACTGGAGGTCTTGCTGAGCGTCGTGAGCCTGCGTCTCGTCCCGCGTCGCCTCTTCGTGCTGCTCGCGCTAGTGGTCGCGGTTCGCGTCAGCGTCCTCCCCCTGTCCCTGGCACCCACCGGATGTCTCTGCGTCCGTCCACTGCTCCTCTGCGTGCCCCTTTGCCTTCTCCTCCTGAGTCCTCTCTTCCTGCACTTGCCGACCCAGAGTCAGACTCTCTCCGTACTGCCAGTCCTACTGTCCCGCGTCTCCTTGCTACTGTCGTCACTGACCCCTCTTTTGAGTCCACTGCTGCGTCTGCGCTTGTTGCTGAGCTCGTCGACTTTGCTGCTCGCTGTCGTCTAGACTACGCTGCCAGTCTTGTTGCCGAGTCTGCGTCTGTCTGTCCTCCGTCCGTCGGGGGTGAGTGTGCTCTTGGCACGGACGTCCTTGAGGACAGGCAGGAGGAGTTTCAGTGTCTCGCTGCTGCTTCACCTCATCTAGCCTCCGTACTACTTGCCCCTGAGGGAGACCCGGATGCACTAGACATCCCGACTCCGCGCTCTTACGGGGAGGCCGTAGAGGGTCCCTACTCCTCTCAGTGGCAGGCAGCTATGGATGCAGAGATGGCTTCCTGGAAGTCCACAGGCACCTACGTTGACGCGGTTCCCCCTCCTGGGGCGAACATCGTCAGTGGCATGTGGATCTTCAGGGTGAAGCGGTCGCCGGGCTCTCCACCTGTCTTCAAGGCGCGGTACGTGGCTCGTGGCTTCAGTCAGCGGCAGGGAGTTGACTACTTTCAGACCTTCTCTCCCACCCCGAAGATGACCACTCTTCGGGTGCTGCTGCACATAGCCGCTCAGCGGGACTACGAGCTCCACTCTCTTGACTTCAGCACTGCTTTCTTGCAGGGTAGCCTACACGAGGAGATCTGGTTGCGCCGTCCACCTGGTTGCGCTGGGACTTTCCCTCCTAGCACCCAGTGGAGCCTCCGGCGGCCAGTCTACGGTCTCCGCCAGGCACCGCGTGAGTGGCACGACACACTGAGGACTACGCTTGCGGCTCTTGGGTTTGCTCCCTCTACTGCTGACCCGTCGTTGTTTCTGCGCACCGACACTTCTCTGCCGCCGTTCTACATCCTCGTGTACGTTGACGACTTGGTCTTTGCCACAGCGGACACTGCTGGACTCGCCTACGTGAAGTCCGAGCTGCAGAAGAGACACACGTGCACAGACCTGGGTGAACTGCGCAGCTACCTTGGCTTACAGATCACTCGGGACAGAGCACGACGCACCATTACCTTCACTCAGTCACACATGGTGCAGCAGGTCCTTCAGCGCTTCGGCTTCACGTACTCCTCGCCTCAGGCCACTCCTCTGTCTACTCGCCACTCGCTCTCAGCTCTGCCTTCGGATGAGTCCGTAGAGTCGAGTGGCCCGTACCCAAAGCTTGTTGGCTGCCTCATGTACCTGATGACCTGCACACGACCTGACCTTGCATACCCTCTTAGCATTCTTGCACGCTATGTTGCTCCTGGGAGACACCGACCAGAGCACATGGCTGCAGCGAAGAGGGTGTTGCGCTACTTGTGCAGTACGTCGGGCATGGGGCTAGTGCTTGGAGGGCGCAGTCCAGTGGTCCTCACTGGGCACGCGGACGCTTCTTGGGCTGACGACCAGGCTACTCAGCGGTCGTCACAGGGTTACACCTTCAGTCTTGGTTCCGGCTCTGTTTCGTGGCGGGCTACTCGCTCGTCTTCTGTTCTCGGCTCCAGTTGTGAGGCTGAGATCTACGCCGGGGCCATGGCTGCTCAGGAGCTTCGCTGACTCACCTACCTGCTGACTGACCTTGGAGAGCCGCCTCGTTCTCCTCTAGTGCTGTACGTAGACAACAAGGCCATGCTGGCCTTGTGTCGAGAGCAGCGCCTGGAGCACAGAACGAAGCACATTGCTCTCCGCTACTTTCTTGCTCGTGAGCTGCAACAGCGTGGTCAGTTGCGACTTGCGTACGTGGCCTCTGAGGCCAACACTGCTGATGTTTTCACCAAGGCTCTTCCGCCTTGTGATCATCAGCGCTTCTGCACTCAGCTGGGACTTGTACCTGTCTTACCTCACTTGCTCACCTCTTGATCTTACTTGTACTCTTCCATATATATATATATGTGCTCTTGCTTGTTTAGTGTTATATGTATATATGTGTGCACTCCTGCATGTGAAGTGGCCTTGTGGCCTTGACCTTGTGCTCGGACTGTGTGGTGACTTTGTGATCCACCCTGAGCTTGCTTTGCTTTGCTTTGCTTGACTGGTCTTGTGACCCCTTGTTCTCCCCCACTTTGCCTATGGGGGTGTGTCAGATATATATGACATAGCTATTGTAGGCTATAGTGGGGTAGCACATATGGGGTACAGCTTTCTAGGGTTTGTATTTGTACCCAACTTTGACTTAGTCATTCATTCTCGTTCAACTTTTCTCATTAAATGCCCGTTTAATCATTCACCTATTCCAAAGTAGCAATCACCAACATATGCATTTGTGATCATATAATATTTTCGTTATGCTTATAATATTTTAGTACTTTTAGATTGAAAATGTATACCTACGCAACCCATACGACGTTAAAAGTCGAGTCTTGTTTCAACTCATCCACGCCTCTTTGGTCTCTCCCTCCCCTCCGCTCCCCCTTCCCTCCTTGTCCCGTCATACACGTCCTTCTCGGCCTTAAAGCCCGAGGTTAGCATGGTTTTTGCAACAGTGACGCGGGGGCTTTAATCGTGTTCGCGAAAGGCATAAAAAAAAAAAACATTTCGAGAACTGAACAGGTGCGAAAGCGAAACCAGGCAGCGACGAGCTTCTGGATTCGTCACCCAACTGTGCGACACTGCTCCACGAGTTTGGTGCTTGGAGAGGGTTAGGGCGCGTGAGGTCTTTGAAATTTGTAAAAGTTTATGTTTTTAGGGCGGATTTTAGTTTCGAACTTACAACGAAAGAAGTTCGAATTTCCTTCTATCGAAGTTCGAACATCGGGCTTACCACACTGTAAAAAATCACACACACATACAAGGTCGAACCCCGACATTCGAACTTGTAAAAACGAGCCGAGCCGCACGTCAACATCATAGGTTACCCGGTTCGCTCGTCTTGACGGTGCGCCACGTCAACATTTTGCGCCTCGGTTTACAAGGACCTAGAGCTCCAACTCACCTTCCGCGCCGAGTGTGTAACCAGGGTACAAATAGCCCCCATGGCAACACCTTGTATGCTGGACACGTGGCTACAACAGTGTGCACGAATTGTGGGGTGTCTTCGTTGTGCAACTTCATGCACTGGCGAAGCGCTCGCCCGTTTCGCCAGCTGTTCGGACGTGCTGCAAATCACACACGCTCGCATGAACGTGCGCACGCACGTTCGCGCCTCCGACTCGAGTCAAATTCATATTTCAAACTCGAACTTTTGCAGAGCCCATACAATGCTTGGTTCGCGAAGCACCCTTCGCGAAATTAGCGAATAGGGTAACCACCAAAAGTTCGAACTTTATTTTGAACTTCTAAACAGACCACACGCGCCCTTAGAAAGCGAAGCCATGTGTATAGATTGGTTTGAAAATGCACGCTACTCGTCGCCGTCGCCTACGTTCACTCCCCTCCGTCGCCCACACGACCATTCTCCCGTCAATGTCTCACACTTCCCTCCATCGCCATAGCTCACTCCCTCTCATCGCCCTCGCGCACTCCCCTCCCGTCGCCTTCGCGCACTTCCCTCCCGTTGCCTTCGCGCACACCCTTCCCGTCGCCTTCGCGCACTCCCCTCCCGTCACCTTCGCACACTCCCCTCCAAAGAGGATGATCACTCCCTCCCGTCGCCCACGCTTCCTTCCTGACGCACGATCACGCTCCCTCCCCTCCCGTTGCCTTCGCGCGACGCATCTTTCGCCCCTCCTCACTCTCTTCCGTCGCCCACGCTCACTCCCTCCCGTCGCCCACGCTCACTCCCCTCCCGTCGCCCACGCTCACTCCCCTCCCGTCGCCCACACTCACTCCCCTCCCGTCGCCCACGCTCACTCCCCTTACGTCATGTACGCGCACACCCATCCGTCACTACTAACGCTCTCTCCCTCCCGTCTCCCACGCTCCCTCCCCTCTAACGAGAACGGGGACTCCCCGCGCCTTGCAACTCTCCTTCCTCCTGCTACGCCACACCCCACACTCTCGTCTCCCCATCCCTCATCTCCCCTTCCCTCGTCTCCCCATCCCTCATCTCCCCTTCCCTCGTCTCCCCATCCCTCATCTCCCCTTCCCTCGTCTCCCCATCCCTCATCTCCCCTTCCCTCATCTCTCCATCCCTCGTCTCCCCATCCCTCACCTCCCCATGCCTCACCTCCTCATCGCTCATCTCCCCATCCCTCATCTCCGCATCCCTCATCTCCCCATCCCGCATATCCCCATCCCTCATCTCCCCTTCCCTCACCTCCCCGTCCCTCATCTCCCCATCCCGCATCTCCCCATCCCTCATCTCCCCATCCCTCACCTCCCCATCTCTCACCTCCCCATCCCTCATCTCCCCATGCCTCACCCCATCTCCGCCGCACCCCGTGGCATCGTCACACGTCGCCATTTCCCACCTCTTCCTACTTCCCATCCCCCTCTTCCGCCCTTCCTCCCCCCTTCTCTCAATCCCTTCCTCTCGCCCTGCCATCCTACTTCCCATCCCCCTTTCCTCGTTTCCGCAGACCTCCTTTCCCCATCCCGTCATTCACTCTCCCTCCGTTCCCCATCCTTCCATTCCCCATGCCTACTTTCACCATTCCACCATACCCCATTCACCATACTCCTACCCCCATCTCCTCCTCACCCCATCTCCTCCTATACACATCCGCTTCTTTCCCCTTCCCTCGTCACCGCGTCCCCTCCTCTCCCCATCCCCTCCTCTCACCATCTCTTCTCCCCACCCCCTTCCGTCCTCTCCCCATCCGCCCATCCCACCTCACCACTTCCCTCCTCTTCCCATCCATCCTCTCCCCATCCCTCCCCATCCGTCCTTTCCCCATCCGATCCTCTCACCCTCCCCTCCAGGTTTTTCCCACACCGCCCTCGGCCCAGCGGCACCTATTCATCCCTTGTGCTTTTCTGCACCAGGGAGCTGCTTGGGGCGTTGTGGGTGGATGGCGGTGGGCAGAGTCACACAGCATAGGCAGATGTGGTGCTGCCTGTCCTCCCTTTCCCCCGTCCTCCCTCCCCATCCATCCTTCCCTTCCTCTGTTCCTCTCTTCCTCCATACGTCCCTTCCTCCGTTTCTCTATCCCTCTTCCCCTGGTCGTCCTTCTGTTTGTCTCCTACTGTTCCAGAGTGTCTTTTTATTTCTTCCTCTTCGTTTTGCTTTCTTGTCAGTTGTCATTCCTTTGTATGCTTACCGGCTGGAATGTTGGTTGTTTGATAGTACCACTAGGTATGATACATGGCTGTGGGAATGTTGTATGTTTATTATTATAACTAAATTTTGATCCATAGAGTAGAGTGACCATTGACCACCTACGAAGTGCAACAATCTAGTAAAAGAGGACCGAGTTACTATGCCTTTTCCCACTCTTGTCTGCATACACAGCAGCAAAAAAGCAGGACTTGTGGGTCCCTCCCTACACCTGGTGCTGGGGACCTGTACAGAATGGGCAGGAAAAAACAGAGTGCAGGGGAGACATTGAGCAAGGGGGAAAGAGAGTGAGGAGGGGGGAAGAGAGTGAGAAGGGGGGAAAGGGAGTGAGCAGGGGGAAAGAGGGTGGGCATGGGGGAAGGGAGTGAACAGGGGGGGAACAGAATGAGCAAGGGGGAACAGAATGAGCAAGGGGGAACAGAATGAGCAAGGGGGAACAGAATGAGCAAGGGGGAACAGAATGAGCAAGGGGAAACAGCATGAGCAAGGGGAAACAGAATGAGCAGCGGGGAAGAGAATGAGCAATGGGAAAACCGAGTGAGCAAGGGGGAAACGGAGTGAGGAGGTGAGAAGAGAGAGAGCAAGGGGGGAGAGAGCAGGGGGGAATAGAGCAGGGGGGGATAGAGCAGGGGGGGATAGCGCAGGGGGGGATAGAGCAAGGGGGGATAGAGCAGGGGGGGATAGAGCAGGGGGGAATAGAGCAGGGGGGATTATAGCAGGGGGGGAATAGAGCAGGGGGGAATAGAGCAGGGGGGGATAGAGCAGGGGGGGATATAGCAGGGGGGAATAGAGCAGGGGGGGATAGAGCAGGGGGGGATAGAGCAGGGGGGGATAGAGCAGGGGGGGATAGAGCAGGGGGGAATAGAGCAGGGGGGATTATAGCAGGGGGGAATAGAGCAGGGGGGAATAGAGCAGGGGGGAATAGAGCGGGGGGGAATAGAGCAGGGGGGAACAGAAGAGGGGGGATACGAGTGAGGAGGAGAGAGTGAGCAGGGTGGAACAGAGTGAGGAAGGGGGGGGAGAATGAGGAAGGGGGAAGAGAGTGAGCAGAGGGAAAGAGAGTGAGCAGGGGGAAAGCGAGGTCGACGGGAGGGGGAAAGCGAGGTCGACGGGAGGGGGAGAGCGAGGGCGACGGGAGGGGGAAAGCGATGGAAACGGGAGGGGGAAAAGCACGGAAGGGGATGGGGGGAAGCAGGGAGGGGGATGGGGGAAAGCAGGGAAGGGGATGGTGGGGAGCAGGGAAGGGGATGGGGGAAGCAGGGAAAGGGATGGGGAGAAAAAGGGTAGAAGATGGGGGGAAGCAGGGAAAGGGACATGGGGAAGTAGGGAAGGGGATGGGGGGTAGCAGGGAAGGGGATGGGGGGAAGCAGGGAAGGGGACATGGGGAAGTAGGGAAGGGGATGGGGGGTAGCAGGGAAGGGGATGGGAGGAAGCAGGGAGGGGGATGGGGGGAAGCAGGGAAGGGGATGGGGGAGAGCAGGGAAGGGGATGGGGGAAAGCAGGGAAGGGGATGGGGGAGAGCAGGGAAGGGGATGGTGGGAAGCAAGGAAGGGGACATGGGGAAGCAGGGAATGGGATGGGGGGAAGCAGGGAAGGGGATGGGGGGAAGCAGGGAAGGGGATGGGGGGAAGCAGGGAAGGGGATGGGGGGAAGCAGGGAAAGGAACATGGGAAAGCAGGGAAAGGGAAAGGAAGGGTGTGTGCGGGTTGGAAAGGGGGCGTGACAAGTGTGGGAGTTGGGAAGGGAGAAGGGAGGGATGGCGACAGTGACGGAGATGCCAGGGCGACGAGGGGAGAGAGATACGGGGATTGCGAGGGGACGAGCGGGAGGAAGGGCGATGAGCAGCAGGGAGCGCGACGAGACAAAGGGGGGCAACGGGCGGAAGGGAGCGCGACGAGGGGAAGGTAGGGCGGCGGGTGGTCGGGAGGGCAATGGGAGGAAGGGAGGGCGACGAGACGAAGGGAGGGTGACGGGCGGAAGGGATGGCGACGGCGGAAGGGAGGGCGACGGGCGGAAGGCATGGCGACGGGCGACGGGCGGAATCTATGGCGATGGGCGGAAGGGAGGGCGACGGGCGGAAGGGAGGGCGACGGGCGGAAGGGATGGCGACGGCGGAAGTGAGTGCGACGGGCGGAAGGGAAGGTGACGGGCGGAAGGGAGGGCGACGGCGGAAGTGAGTGCGACGTGCGCTAGGGAGAGCGACGGGCAGTAGGGCGACGGCAGGAGGGAGTTTGATGGGCGTAAGAGAGTGCGACGAGCGGAAGGGAGTGCAGGCGTGCGGAAGGGAGTGCGACGGGCGGAAGCGGGTGCGTCGAACGTACATGTGAGGCTAGCGCCCGATCCGAGCGCTTGATCCATGCGCTTCGAACGTACTTGCGAGCGCCATCGTCCCTGTAGAATTGGGGCGTGACGCATGACGTTTTTCTTTAGGCTGGCTGATATTATTTTTGTTGGAGGTAAAAACCAACAGACTGCTGCAAGGATATAGACATCTCGCTGCCATTGTCTAAAAGCGATACTACGCACTCTTATGGTCCTGAACAGCGGAGCGCCCTACGTGTCCTAGACTCAATATGGCTGCACATAAGGGCGTATCTTTGGTTCCGGTCATGAGCACTGTTCCGGGCATCCGCAAATTGCGGATGACCCAAACTGCACATAACACCACTTCGGGGCCTTCGTGCATGAGCGACCCGTAAACTGGCGCGCACGTTTCCCCGCCCAGAAAGCGACTCCCGTCAACCGTCGCACCCAATCGGGCAGGGCCAAACCACCACACACGAAACACTTCTACCGGCCCACGAGACACTCAACCCACTCACCACACCGTCAAAATTCCCGGCGGGAAAAGTCACATTCAGATCTGCGCAGTTCCACAACGCCACCCAACCAACAAACTTGGCATCAAACTAGACGGTCGTCTACAGTGTGGTACTGAACATGGGGTCGCAGTGCATTATGATTGGTCGGGGGAACATTTTGACTGACGGTCGCATGCAGAGGGATGGATGACCCGAAGTTCGGACCGCGCGCGCCTCGACGCTCCACTTTGGGTCATGCGCTAATTGCGGATGCCCCAAACAGTAGAATGAACAGTGCTCATGACCAAAACCAAAGATACGCCCTAAGTACAACTTGGTTTTCAAGTTTACTGAATGTGAACAGTGGTCCAACTCCCGTTGACACTTCACGCGGAATACTTATTTTTGGTCGCTGGCCAATCATGCATCAGAGTTGTGAAGCATCTCCTCCGTGAGGGGACGGAAAGCTGCACTTCGGGTGGTAACCTGGTTTTTGGCGAGTTCATGTTGTCAGAACATATAGCTTACTTGTTTGTGTAGGCTATAGTGGGGTATCCCATAAGGGGTACAACACATTAGGGTTTCCTATTTGTATTCACTTCACTTCATAGTCATTCATTCCCTCGAAAAAAAAAAAAAAAAAAAAAAAACTGACCACTGCTTCTCCTCCAGGTGCTGCGTCTGGTAGGGTCCCTTCGTCTAGTCAGGTGTTTGCGGCAGCGTCCAGGTCTGGTCCTGAGTCTGCCCCCTGCTCGTGCCGTCGTCTGTCTCACGAGACCCTCCTCTGGCACCACCGCCTTGGCCACCCCTCTCTGCTTCGGCTCAGAGGTATGGCCTCGCGAGTCCTTGTGTCTGGTCTTCCCCGGTCTCTCCCTCCCCTTCCTCCGGGCCCTGGCCCCACCTGTGTCCCCTGTGTCGAGGGGCGCCAGCGTGCTGCCCCTCACTCCTCCGAGTTTCCTCCGACAGAGGCCCCGTTGCAGACGCTTCACATGGACGTGTGGGGCCCAGCCCGCGTCCGTGGACAGGGTCAGGAGCGCTACTTCCTGCTGGTGGTTGACGACTACTCGCGTTACACCACAGTCTTCCCCTTGCGCAGCAAGGGTGAGGTCACTGAGGTGTTGATCGACTGGATCCGCGCAGCTCGTCTCCAGCTTCGGAGGAGCTTTGGCTCTGACTTCCCTGTTTTGCGTCTGCACTCGGACAGAGGCGGAGAGTTCTCCTCTGGCCTCCTGAGTGCCTACTGTCGTGCGCGAGGCATCCGTCAGACCTTCACGCTTCCGGACTCACCACAGCAGAATGGGATTGCTGAGCGCCGCATTGGCATGGTCATGGACGTCGCTCGTACGTCCATGATGCATGCGGCTGCTCCCCATTTTCTGTGGCCGTTTGCGGTCAGTTACGCTGCGCACCAGATCAACCTCCACCCCAGGGTCTCTCAACCGGAGACCTCCCCAGCCCTGCTGTGGACGGGGAAGGTTGGCGATGCGTCGGCGTACCGGGTCTGGGGATCTCGGGCGTTTGTTCGCGACCTGTCTGCGGACAAACTGTCCCCCCGTGCTTCTCCCTGCGTCTTCCTGGGGTTCCCCCCCGACGCCCCTGGGTGGCAGTTTTACCACCCCTCCTCTCGACGTGTTCTGTCCTCCCAGGACGTCACGTTCGACGAGTCGGTACCCTACTACCGCCTCTTCCCCTACCGCACTCCGTCCCTCCCCCCGCCCACGCTCTTCTGGGTACCAGGTCCCCCCCCGGTAGTCCCCCTCCCCCCTCAGGGTCCTGCCCCTTCAGGTGTGTCCCAGGTAGACGCGGTCGAGCCTGTCGAGGTCACTGGTGACTCTGGTGCTGCTGCGGGAGCTGAGCCTGGGGGTGCGGAGTCTGGAGCTGCTGAGCCTGGGGGTGCTGAGCCTGGGGGTGCTGAGCCTGGGGGTGCTGAGCCTGGGTGTGCTGAGCCTGGGGGTGCTGAGTCTGGGGGTGCTGAGCCTGGGGGTGCTGTGCCTGGGGGTGCTGTGTCTAGGGGTGCTGAGCCTGGAGGTGCTGTGCCTGGGGGTGCTTCGTCTCGCCTGGAGCCACTCTCCCCACAGGAGCTGCGTGAGTGGTTTGCCAGGCGCTGGAGGCGTGCTGCTGGTGCTGGTGGTTCTTCGACTGCAGAGGGTACTGCTGCTGCGCGCCCCGCCGGTGCTCGTACTGTGGGTGCTGGAGCTGCTGAGTCTGAGAGTTCTCCTGGAGCTGGTCCTGCTGAGGGTGTTGGCGCTGAGCCTGCAGTTGGCGGTCCGGCTGACGGTGCTCCTGGTGCTGCGGCTGGAGGTTCTGGAGCTGCTGGAGGTGCTGCTGGAGTGGGTGCACCTGCCGGGGCTGCTGGTGCTGTTCCTGCTGTTTCTAGCGTCGCCGCGCGGCCCCAACCGTACTTCGTTCCGCTCCTGCAGCAGGTTCTTTGTCTTACACCCCCTCCTCCTCCCTTAGAGGGTCCGCAGCCTGTCCGGTCACAGCCACAGCTACAGCCTGCCTCCCCTTTGCCTGCTCCTTCTCCCTACGCTGGTCCGACTGGAGGTCTTACTGAGCGTCGTGAGCCTGCGTCTCGTCCTGTGTCGCCTGTTCGTACTGAGCGCGCTAGTGGTCGCGGGTCGCGTCAGCGTCCTCCTCCTGTCCCTGGCACGCACCGGATGTCACTGCGTCCGTCCACTGCTCCTCTGCGTGCCCCTTTGCCTTCTCCTCCTGCTTCCTCTCTTCCTGCTCTTGCCGACCCGGAGTCGGACTCTCTTCGTGCTGCCAGTCCTACTTTCACGCGTCTCCTGGCTACTGCTGTCACTGACCCCTCCTTCGAGTCGTCTGCTGCGTCTGCCCTTGTCACTGAGCTTGTCGACTTTGCTGCGCGCTGTCGTCTAGACTACGCTGCTCGTCTTGTCACTGAGTCTGAGTCCGCCTGTCCTCCGTCCGTCGGGGGTGAGTGTGCCCTTGGCACGGACGTCCTTGAGGACAGGCAGGAGGAGTTCCAGTGTCTGGCCGCCGCTTCACCTCGTCTCGCGTCTGTACTGCTAGCCCCTGAGGGAGACCCGGATGCACCAGACATCCCGACTCCGCGCTCTTACGCGGAGGCGATAGAGGGTCCCTACTCCTCTCAGTGGCAGGCAGCTATGGATGCAGAGATGGCTTCCTGGAAGTCCACAGGCACCTACGTTGACGCTGTCCCCCCTCCTGAGGCGAACATCGTCAGTGGCATGTGGATTTTCAGGGTGAAGCGGCCGCCGGGTTCTCCGCCTGTCTTCAAGGCGCGTTACGTGGCTCGTGGCTTCAGTCAGCGGCAGGGGGTTGACTACTTTCAGACCTTCTCCCCCACCCCGAAGATGACCACTCTTCGGGTTCTGCTGCACGTTGCTGCTCACCGTGACTACGAGCTCCACTCTCTCGACTTCAGCACAGCCTTCTTGCAGGGCAGCCTGCACGAGGAGATCTGGCTGCGTCGCCCACCTGGCTTCACTGGGTCTTTCCCTCCTGGTACCCAGTGGAGTCTCCGGCGTCCAGTCTACGGTCTCCGCCAGGCGCCACGTGAGTGGCACGACACACTGAGGACTACGCTCGCGGCACTTGGGTTTGCTCCTTCCACTGCCGACTCGTCGCTGTTTCTGCGCACCGACACCTCTCTGCCGCCGTTCTACATCCTCGTGTACGTCGACGACTTGGTCTTTGCCACAGCTGACACTGCTGGACTCGCCTACGTGAAGTCCGAGCTGCAGAAGAGACACACGTGCACTGACCTGGGTGAACTGCGCAGCTACCTTGGCTTGCAGATCACCCGGGACAGAGCACGCCGCACCATTACCCTGACTCAGTCACACATGGTGCAGCAGGTCCTTCAGCGCTTCGGCTTCACGTACTCCTCGCCTCAGGCCACTCCTCTGCCTACTCGCCACTCGCTCTCAGCTCTGCCTTCGGATGAGTCCGTAGAGTCGAGTGGCCCGTTTGCAGAGCTTGTTGGCTGCCTCATGTACCTGATGACCTGCACACGACCTGACCTCACATACCCTCTTAGCATTCTCGCACGCTTTGTTGCTCCTGGGAGACACCGACCAGAGCACATGGCTGCAGTGAAGAGGGTGTTGCGCTACTTGTGCAGTACGTCGGGCATGGGGCTAGTGCTTGGAGGGCGCAGTCCAGTGGTCCTCACTGGGCACGCAGACGCTTCTTGGGCTGACGACCAGGCTACGCAGCGGTCGTCACAGGGTTACACCTTCAGCCTTGGTTCCGGCTCTGTCTCGTGGCGGGCTACCCGCTCGTCTTCTGTTCTCGGCTCCAGTTGTGAGGCTGAGATCTACGCTGGGGCTATGGCTGCACAGGAGTTACGCTGGCTCACCTACCTGCTGACCGACCTTGGGGAGCAGCCTCGTTCTCCTCCAGTCCTGTACGTAGACAACAAGGCCATGCTGGCCTTGTGTCGAGAGCAGCGACTGGAGCACAGAACGAAGCACATTGCTCTTCGCTACTTTCTTGCTCGTGAGCTGCAGCAGCGTGGACAGCTGCGACTTGCGTA